AATAGAATAGAATAGAATAGAATAGAATAGAATAGAATAGAATAGAATAGAAAATAAGTTTTAAAAAGGCTGTGAATGTGGCTCAGTGTGAAATCTCTGGGTTCAATCCCCAGGACCACAAAAATATGATTGGGATGGATAGATAGGTAGGTGGATGAATGACAGATAAATAGAGAAACAGTATCCTGACAGTGTAAAGTTTGAGAACTGCTGTACTTTTCCATTGGTCCGCAGGAACCTTGGTCTCATGTATTCCACACATTGCTCTTTGGTCACACACAGCAGGCTCTTCTCCCTGTCTGCAGCTTGTCTTTGTACAGCTTTACTTTCTCTGCTCTCCATTCTGTCTGCTTTTGCATATTTTCTTTTGGGCATCACTCTCCTTCTGTCTGAAATACAATGCACCCTTTAGAGCTCCCCAGTGAAGTTCAGTGGTCAGACACTTGTCTGAAAATGTCCTTGAGTGGCCCTCCCTGTGTATATATATTTTCACTGGTTTAGAATCCTAAAGGGGCACTTATTTTTCCCTCATTAACATTTAAGATAGGATTTGACTGGCTTCCACTACCACTGTCAGTCTCACTACTGACCTCTGAAGTATTCTACTGTTTCTCCACTGACTTTTACAATTTTCTCTTTGTCTTTGGTGTTCCAGTAACAGTTTGGTTTGTTTGTATGTATGTATGTATTTATCTTTTTGAGACAGGGTTTCACTATGCACTTCAGGCTGGCCTTGAACTCACTTTGTAGCTGAGGCTGGCCTCAAGTTCACAGTGATCCTCCTGCCTCAGCCTCTTGAGTGCTGGGATTACAGGCATGAACCTCCATGCCCAGCTTCTAATAATAATTTAAAATTTATCCTGCTTGAGATCTATTAGACTTCTTAAAACTGTCTATGCATCAGTTTGGGCATATCATCAGCCATTATCTCTTCAAATATCTCTAAAACTGCACTACTCTCATTCTGTAATTCCAATTAAAACAATATTAGGTATTTTTACCATATTCTCCATTTCTTATAATCTTTCTTCCATAGTTAACCTTTTTACCCCGTACTACATGTTGGGGGAAAAAAATCTTCTAATCAATTTTCTAGTTAAACCGTCATCCAATAAACTTTTTATTTTCATATTATATTTTTTAATTTCAGAAATTCTCACCAGATATAGTTGGGCAGGCCTGTAATCTCAGCACCCAGGAGGTCGAAGCAGGAAGACTGATTACAGTTCAAGGCCAGCCTGAACTATGTAGTAAGATCCTGTCTCAAAAAACAAAACAAAACAAAAACTCTTTTGATCTTTTTTTTTTTCTTTTTGAGACAGAGTCTTGCTATGCAGTTCAGGCTGGCCTTGAGCTCAGTTTGCAGCCCAGGTGGGCCTCAAAGTCGCAGCGATCCTCCTGCCTCAGCCTCCCGAGTGCTGGGATTACAGGCATGCGCCACCATGCCCGGCTGTTTTGACACTTAAAAGAGCTTTTTGTAATTTCCTGCTTCCTCCAAGTCTTTTCAAGTGTATTTATTTTTTTACTTTTTCACTTTTTTTTGGCCGTACTTGGTATTGAACTCAGAGCCTTTGCTCTAAACTACAACTCTCTTAATTTTTTGAGACAGAGTCTCATTAAGTTATCAAGCTGCCTAGAATGGGCTAGAACTTGCCATCTTCCTTCCTCAGCCTTGCACATGCCACTCTACCCAACTCTTATTTTTTTAAACGCAGTAAATATGACTTTTATAATCCTAATACACAAAAGTGTTTTGTTTTGCTTTTTAATGCAGTGTAGGGATGCAACTCAGTCTTGTTAAGGCCTAACAAGCATTGTACCACCACGCTACATCCCCAGTTCTACACAGACTATAGGTATATTTCACTTTACCATTGTTTCTTAGCTCTTATTCGAGATAATTTGCTTCTTTATTTTTAAAAATTTGTTTCTTTGTATATTTTGTTTTGTTTTCTTTTAGAGAGGGTCTTGCTATGTAGCCCAGGCTGGCCTGGAATTCATGGTGATCCTCCTGCCTCAGCCTCCCAGCGCTGGGATTTTAGGCATGCACCACACCTGTCTCTGTGCACTATTTTTAACAATTTCTTTTTTTTCGTACCAGGAATCAAACTCATGACCTTAGGCTTGCCAGGCAAGCACTTATACCACTGAGCTATAGCCCCAGCCCTCTGTGCAGTATTTTTCACCAGGCGCTATGCGCTGCACCTGAGGGACTACTGGAGGGATTCCTCCAGGTCCACTTGAAGCCTGAGGCTCTGGACCATCCAGGTAGTGTGAATGGGGCAACACAGTGCACCTGCCTGAAGGTGACTGCAGGCTCTCCCCCGCCCTTCTCCCCTTCTCTACCACCTGCTTAGTTTCCTGCAAAAGTAACCTTTTTGTAGACCCCTGGAGAAAAGGGGACTTACTTTTGGCATACCCTAAAGATATAATCTTTCAAAGTCCATCTTACTTTGAAGAGAATCTTACATCCTCTACCTCACATGCATCCTGGGCTTTGACTTTTATCCTCTTCATCCCCTGAGGGCATCAAACCTGAAGTCCAAGTTTGTCCCTGGCAAAGGTCCTCAATGCAACCTCAGCACACTGTTCTGCTTACCTCTCTCTGAGATGTTTCACCTTAGTATTTTCATAGGCTTTTGCTACTTTGTAGTTGGGTTTTTAAATTCTAGAATTTGATTAATTCTTTCCAAAACAGAGAGAGCTAATCAAAATAACCTGACCAACTATATTCTAGAAAATGGATTCTTTTTTAAAAAATGTAAAACCAGTACAACAAAATCCAAAAGAAAATTACACAAAACTCTACCTTCTATCTCCTTAACCCTTGTGCATGTTCCAGGCTGTTCTTCCATTGTGTACATGCTTTCTACACAGGTCATACAAATCTGACATTTGCACACCAGCTGTTGTATACATTTTATTTTGGGTGATAGTAAAAAAGGGCCAATGGCCTCAGGGTGGGGCAGTCTTGGGAAAAAACATCCAGAGATTGGAAAGGTCTTGGAATCAACTTACAGAAAGACGCGACCCGGCTCTCGCTCTGGCAATGCTCTCCTTCTCCTTCTCTGACACCCTTCTCTGCACAGCCTGGAAGTTGTTTAAGGCCGCGGAGAAGTCACTCATGAGGCGCTCCTTCTGGAGTTTCTGCTGACGCTAAGGAAGTTAAGCAAGAAGTTGAAATTCCATATTAACCCAGATTATTTAGAGACTTTAATTCCCATGAAAAACAACATCATATCCCTTCAACATTCCCAACTAGAAAAATTACTACAGGGGCTGGGGATTTAGCTCAGTGGCACAGCGCCTGCCTGGCAAGCGCAGGGTCGTGAGTTTGATTCCCGGTACCGGAAAAAAACAAACAAAACCAAAAAAAAAAAGAAAAATTACTACAAAATAGATTCTGCCTTAAATGAATACATTTGTTCTTTGCTAGCTGAAATCACTGGTAAATTCTGACTTTTTTCTTCTTTCATTCTAACAAATTTAGGAACTGGGTATTATTTACCTTATAATCTCAGAAGGAAATGTAATTTAGGATTTTTGTTCCCTGGAGAACCTAAAAGCAGAAAAAATATCTTTGGACTCAGACTGGGAACTACATTCATCTACACTGAGTTGATGGCTTCCCAGAAAATCAGTTTCTTTTATAGGCATTTTTTTCTTTAAGGGAGACTTAAATTATTATTTTTTATCTTTTTTATTTTTAAAAAATAAAAGAAGTAAAACATATTAACAGAAATCCATTTACAAAATAGCACAAAAACAATGCAAACAAAACAGAGTTACAGACGAAGTTGTAGGAAATTAACCATGGTTGTTGTATTACTTATTGATATCTTCAAAGTGGTTTCTCAGGAAAACAAATAGAGACATACAAGATTGATCAAACAAGTAATCATTAACTGTTCCTTTCTGTAGAGCAATAGAAGACAGTAGTACAACTATGTTAGCTATCCTGTATATACATACTTACATAATTTCCCCTAGAAAAAGAAGAACAAGTCAAGCTCAAAGCCCAAAGCCCAAAGAAGAGAGGAGATTATAAAGATCCAGGCAGAAAGTAATGCAGCTGAGACAAAGAAAACCCTACAAAAAATAAATGAATCAAAGAGTTGGTTCTTTGAAAGAATAAATAAAACCCCTAACCAACCTTATCAAAAAAAGAAAGAACTCAAATTCATGCAATAAGGAATGAAAAGAGTGAAATTACTACAGATTCCACAGAAATTCAGAAGATCATTAATACCTACTTTGAAAATCATTACTCCCATAGGATAGAAAACTCAGAAGAAATGGACAGATTCCTAGATATGTACGAATTACCAAGCTTGAGTCAAGAAGATATAAAATCCTGAACAACCCAATATTAATTAATGAGATTGAAAATGTGATTAAAAACTTACCAACAAAGAAAAGCCCAGGCCCTGATGGATTCACAGCAGAATTTTACAAGAAATTCAGATAAGATTTAATACCAACATTCTTCAAACTCTTCAATGAAACTGAAAAGGAAGCAATTCTCCCTAACTCATTTCTGGAGGCAAGTACTTTACTGATACCAAAACCAGAGAAAGACCCAACCAAGAAAGAAAACTACAGACCAATCTCCCTAATGAATATAGATTGAAAGACACTCAATAAAATACTAGCAAATAGAATGCAGCAAATCATCAAGAAAATCATATACCAAGACCAAGTCAGATTCATTCCAGGAATGCAGGGATGGTTCAATATTTGCAAATCAATTAATGTTATATATCATATCAATAGAGCCAAAGACAAAAATCATATGATCATCTCAATAGATGCAGAAAAAGCTTTTGACAAAGTCCAACATGCATTCATGATAAAAACTCTACAGAAAATAGGAATAGATGGTCTTTATCTCAACCTGATCAAAGCCATCTATGACAAACCAAGAGCCAACATCATACTAAATGGACAAAAACTGAAAGCTTTTACTTTAAAATCAGGAACAGACAAGGATGTCCACTGTCACCATTCCTATTCAACACAGTTCTGGAAGCATTAGCCAGAGCAATTCAACAAGAGAGAGAAATAAAAGGAATAAGGATAGGAAAGGAAGAAGTAAAGCTTTCACTATTTGCAGATGACAGGATACTTTACATGGAAGACCCTAAAAACTCCACAAGCAGACTCCTTGAATTATTTTTTTATCTTTTTGAGAGAGGGTCTCACTATGCAGTTCAGGCTGGCCTTGAGCTCACTTTGTAACCCAGGCTGGTCTCAAACTCACAGCGATCCTCCTTCCTCAGCCTCCTGAGTGCTGGGATTATAGGCATGCACCACCAGCCCGGCTTTTTTTTTTTTTTTTTTTTTCCTTAATTTGGTGGTAGGGATAGAATCTCGGGCCTCCTGTATGCTAAGCAAGTGTTCTATCATTAAGCCACACACCCATCCTCAAAACGCTACATTTTAAGGATAGCATAAACATTTACATGTCAACATACTCTTCACAGTTATAACCTTTGTTACATACAGTCCATCAAGTTGATCTAGTAAATTTTCTTAAATTTTATTTTATGAGACAGGGTCTTGCTATGTAGCTCAGGCTGGGCTTGAACTAACCACGTAGCCCAGGTTGGTTTTGAACTCTCAGCAACGCTCCTGCCTCAGTCTCCTGAGTGCTGGGATTATAAGCATTCACCAGCACATCTGGCTTTATCTAGTAAATTTCATATAAACCTTTCTTGTAAATTGTTGCCAGTTCTTATGAATACTGGGAAATAAATATTTCTATTATGAATAAAGCTAAAGTGTGAATAAAGAGCCCCACTGAACAGTTAATATTTATATCTGGCTACAGGTACATTTTTTTCCCTTTGGAGAAATGTCCATGGGTGGGAATACTGTGTCAAAAGGTATAAGTTTTTTTCTTGTTCTTTATTTCTTTTTAAGAGGCGAGGTTTATTTCAGCTGAAAGATTCAGAGGATTTAGCTTACGGCGTGCTGCCCCAAGGCAGAAACAGCAGGTAGAGGGGCTTAACAGAGAAAAATTGCTCAACACAGGGCAGCCAGGAGGCAGCAAGCCACAAACTTTTTACCATGGCAATTATTGTCAATCAACTTATTGCAGGGGTTTTACTGAGTAATTACATATAAAATACCAAGTTAAATTTTATATGCAGGTAGAATATTCAAGAGGAAAATATCAGAACAGGAAAGGTGATTCAGGTCAAGTACTTGGAGGTTAAGGGGCCAAAGTTGGAAAAAGAGCGTCAGGATCATGAGGGTGACAGGGAGGGCACAAAAGTAGCTAAGACTCTCGGGGGAGGAAGAGTAGAGTCAGAAAACCAGAGGGTCCAGACTGAGCCTTGGAGCTTGCACATCCTAGAGCAGCAGGGTCCAGGATGGAGGATAAGACTGAACCCGGGAATCATTAGAGTGGGGGACAGAACAAAAGCGAATCACAGAAAGAAGAGAATTTCAGTGGAAACAGGATGGGCAAGAGGATCTGAAAGAAAACTGAAGAAAAATGAGGCTAGGGCTTGAGAATGGGCCGGTCACGATAACAGTACACAGGTGTGGGGAAAAACTCGTAGCACGTATGGTCTGACAGCAGTGAAAAGATGGATGATGGGGCTGAGATAGACTGAGATGCAGGAAGAGCAGAGAGACAAAAGGGTACTCAGCACAACAGCAGAAAGAGAATCAAGGAATTATACATCACCTGAGAGAATACATTTTATAGGTCTATTTGGTGTTCTTAATGATCCCAGCTAATGGAAGGGAATAATAGCATGCATAATCCAAAAATAACTTCTATTGGTTTTAGAACACATTAGATGAATTTATATTGGTTGTAGATTTAACTTTCTATTTATATTTTGCTTAGGCTGCTATTTAACCCTTAGATATTTATAATAATACTCTGCACCGGACACTTAAGACTCCTTTTTTATTACTACAAAATATATCTGCAAATGTGTCTTCCCTAAGCACATGGCTAGGAAGAGGAAAGGGGTAATTTGGAAGCAAGCTGGAGATATTGGATGGTAAGGGAGGGTTGTAACTAAAACTTTACCACGTGTAACAACTAAAACCAATGAACCGGGCCGGGCGTGGTGGCGCATTCCTATAATCCCAGTGCTCGGGAGGCTGAGGTAGGAGGATCGCTGTGACTTTGAGGCCCACCTGGGCTGCAAAGTGAGCTCAAGGCCAGCCTGAACTGCATAGTGAAACCCTGTCTTAAAAAGGCAAAAAAATAAAAATAAAACCAGTGAACCATACATGGATAACTGGAGGGTGATTATACTAGATTATATATATATTTTTAACTAAGATTACATTTTATCAGAACTATTTTGTAGGAGAAGACAAAGCCCCCAGTCGTGGCTCTTTGGTTTTTTGAAATGGGGTCTCACTGTATAGTTCATGCTGGCCTTGAATTCACTGTGAGCACTCAGGAGGCTGAGGCAGGAGGATTGCTGTGAGTTTGAGGCCAGCGTGGGGCACATAAACGAGTTCAAGGCCAGCCTGCAGTACATAATGAAGTTCTGCCTAAAAAAAAAAAAAAAACTGAACTCACTATGTAGCCAGGCTGGCCTTGAATTCATGATCCTCCTGCCTCAGCCTCCCAAATGCTGGGATTACAGATGCACGCCACCACACCTGGCTTTGGCTCCTCTTTAATATAGAGAACAAAAATTTCAATACTGAACCATGCTACTTAAATAGCTTGCCAAATTAAACTGGTGCTTTCCAAACTGTTGTGATAGAGACCCACAGTAAGAATTTGACATCATAATCTAATACACACACATAATACAGGCTTTGTGACTTCTTGAGAGCTATCATACATGTAAGAAATGAAAATTTCATGTGATATTTACCCTTATCACATGGTACACACTCTAATGTTTCTACTCAATTTTAGTTTTTGAAAATACTGCTAGTTAAAAAAAAATACTGCTCATAACACATTAAAACGGTTGCACATGCTAAGAACCACAGCCAAAGTTTGAGAAACTCAGAAGAGAAGTTGGAGGCTGTGTCTTCAGAACCATCGAAGATATTATTTTTGCAGCTTACTAATAAAAGTTACATAAGTGCCCCTTTGAGTAGTACAGAGGCTAAGAGCACAACAGGTGAAGGTCAGTGGAGAAGGTTTTCTCCTGCGGGTAGACGAAGGAAGACAGTTGAGAGTTAGGCACCGGTAAAGGAGGGGACAGATCTAGTTTCAGGAGTGAAAAGAAGACACAGCTTATGAAAGGAACAACGAACCCAGTAAAAAACTGAGCATTTAACATGTTCACAATGGGGCTATAATTTGTACGTCTTGCTGCCGGAAGGCTCTGGACCAGCCGATGGGACTGTGCCACGCCACACGATGGGACACTCATGCACGCCAGTCATGCAGGTACCGCCGGTGGCTCAAGCCAGTGGGACTGTGTTAAAGAACTTAAATAGCGACTGAATAAAACGACTTGCAAAGAGGTATCTTCCCTGAGCGTTTCCTTAGCCTCTGACCTGTGAACGACCCTTAGTGGGACACAAAGGTCCTGTTGCGAATATGAAAACAAGAAGTTTGATTAAAATATAAACATACTGGTAGGACCCAATATATAGCTGCTGGCCAAACCCAGAGAGATGCAAACACTGAGGTTCCCCTCCCGCTCAGTCCAGTGTAGTAATGTTGAGGACAGCAGTAGTCACCGCGTGTTGAGCACTTCCTGAATGCCAGGCATGTTACCGTATCTGTGCATACATTTTCTACTGGCCCACCAGTCATATCCCCCCACTTTAACAGATAAGAAAATTGAGGTTCAGGGAAGGAATACCTAGCATCAAAGGCCAACTTATTTTTGTTCCCTGTAATGCTTTTTTTTCTTTTTACTAAAATAAAATCTTTTTCTAATAATAAACACAGAAAATACCAACCTGCTCTGAAGTAGATAAGGGAAGGGGCAGGGACCCTAATTCCTTCAGCAATTCATTGGTTTCCTTGGCGAGCTGGTTTGTGGAGTGCTGTAACTGTTGCCTAAGACAGAAAAGACATGTTTCAGGATGTGACTTCTTGAGAGTTATCAGACTGAGTATTACTTTGTTCTCAGAGTATCTCATAACACTGGAAATCAAGGTCTTTTGAATAACTGAGTGCCTCAATGTCCATGCTCTCCAAACAATTTCAGAAACAGTCCCCAGACAAACCCACCCATGCCTGCCATCTCAGCACTCAGAAGGCTGAGGCAGGAGGATCATCATGAATTCCAGGCCACCCTGAACTACATAGTAAAACCCTGTCTCAAAAAAGAAATAGATGGAGAGCAATTGCCGCTCCCCTAAATCTCAGGGTTTCAACACACTGAACTCTCTCATAAAAATCTCCCTTTGCATTTGAATTTCCCAAGAGTTCGACATGCTTGCTATCTGTCACAGCCTACGGACTACAATCCAGGAACAGGTGGTCGGCTGAAATGTGCATTAAAAGCACCGCTTCCTAGCCAGGTGTGGTGGTGCACACCTGTTACCCTAGCACTTGGGAGGCTATGGCAGGAGGACAGACATGAGTTCAATGCCAGCCTAGACTACATAGTGCAATCCTGTCTCTAAATTAATAAATGAAAAAATACAAATAAAAAATAAAATAAAAGCATAGCTTCCTAACTGCCCTAGGGAACAACCCCCAAAGATTTGTTCTCGCACTACTGTCAAAGCCTGATCCTTTTTTAGGTTTATCCTTGGCTCCTTACCTGCTCTTTTTGGTTGCCTTTTGGGCCTTTCCCTCCAAAATAAGAATCCTTAAGCTGTGTAAAAATATATACGGACAGGGCTGGGATGTGGCTCAGTGGAACAGTGCTTGCCTGGCATGTGAAAAGCCTTGGGTTCTATCCCTGGTGCCACAAAAAACAAAAACAAAGGAAAAAAACCCATAAGGAATCTGGGTGGTAGGGATAGTGGTACATGCCTCTAGTTCTAGTTACTCAGGAGCCTGAGACAGGACTGCTTGAGCCCAGGAGTTCAAGGCCAGCCTGAGCAACATAATGAGCCCTGTTTCAAAAAAATAAAAGGAGGCCAGTAGTGGTGGCGCATGCTTGTAATCTCATCACTCAAGAGGCAGAGGCAGGAGGATCGTTGCAAGTTTGAGACCAGCCTGGGCTATAAAGTGAGCTCAAGGCCAGCCTGAACTGAATAGTGAGACCCTGTCTCAAAAAGACCAAAAAAAAGAAAAAAAAAACTCAACGACAAAACAAATACAACAATACAAAAACAAAACAAAAGGAGTAGTGGGATTGAAAAGTAGTAGAAATATCCAGGTATAGAGGCAGCACTCCGGAAGCTGAGGAGAAGGGCCACAGGAAGTTCAAGCCCAGCCTTAGTTACATAGTAAGACCTAGCCTCAACTCCTTGCCAAAGAAACAAACAAATAAGGAAAGCAAAGTATAGCAAAAATACAAAATGAGCTCCTTTCTTTTGTGGTTTCCTCTAATCTCTGGCCATTTCTTTTTCTCTCTTTTCTCTCTGCCATTTCTTCAAAGGTTTTAAGGGAGGACAGAGAAACCACCTGTTCTGGTCTGAAGGTCTGTACGCCTCTCCCAGTTCGCATGCTGCAACCCTAACCCAGAGGTGATGGATTAGAAGACAGCACCGGGAGGTGACTGGATCCCGAGGGTGGAGCCCAAGTGCTGGCCCGAACGCCTTCTTACAAGAGGCCCCGGAGAACTGTGCCTCCTCCATCCAGTGAGGATACTGAGAATCAGTGGGACCTCACCACACAGTGCCTCTGTCACTGCTCTGATCCTGGACTTCCCAGCCTCCACAACTATGAAAAATAAATTTTTTTTTGTTTATAAACCACCTAGCTTGTGGTGTTTTGTGACAGTAGCCTCAATGGACTAAGATACCACAATAGTATCTATTAATGTTCTTTACTGAAAATAGGCCTCCAAGATTTAAAAAGAGGGGAGCAGTCAACAACAAGGAAGAGGGGGTCAATCAGATGCCAGGAACAGCTCAGAGAGGATTAAAATATTCAGAAAGAGTTCACATCTCTCTGGAAAAAGTTCACAGTAATAACAGTCACTCTCTTTATTAATGTCTAGAAGAGGAGACAAAGAATATTGCTCAGTATACTTTAATGATGAGGAACAAAACTTCTAAAACCAGGAACAAACCAGCCATGGCAGTGTACACTAGTAATCCCAGCACCGAGGAGGCTGAGGCAGGAGGATCACCTTCAGTTTAAGGCCAGCCTGATAGGCAGACCCTGTCTCAAAAACCCAAAAAATAAGTAAGTAAGAAAGAAAGCAGAAAACGAGTAAAAAAGGATGTGACTAAAAAAGAATCAGGAGTTCTACTACTAGTCCACTATTCTATCCCTCAGGCTGCCCTTGTGTCATTGTGAATAAATTTCCTAGTTTTATATACAGCTGGAAAGCCAACTATAAACTAGATCAGCAGCAGTCCCATGCCAACAAGATGAACTGAGCAGAATATAGCTTAAGAGTTGTAAACATTTCCTTCTCTATCTCTCTAACTTATCCTGCCAAAGTAACCAAGGGAAGAAGGAAGCAGTCAGACCATCGAGAGGCGGTGGAAATCTGAATCCATTCATATACCCTGTTGCCCACTTCTAGATCCAGCTGTTACCTCCTGACCCACTGCTTCTTTCTGACTTCATAGACTGGAACCTGGGCTGCACCTCAGGGCAGCAAGGACACGCATGCATCCTCCAGGGGCCCTCGCAAAACCCAGCCCTGGTAGGGAGCTACTCACAGATTCTCTTGTAGCTTGCTTGAGTCCTGCTTCGTTCCTAGTTGGCTCATCAAATTCTTTATCTGAGCGGCTGGGGAGGTAGGGGGAGAAAGATTTATTTAAAAGGTAAATACATTCATCATAAGCTCCTACCTCTCAGATCACTGGTCTATCCACATCCTGAATAAGCACATACAACTAACCAAAACCATGCTACGATCAAAACCTTGGCATACAGTATTCCTCCAAAAGCTGTAAATTTCACCTTCAGAGTAACTATTACTAAGTAGATAGAATTCAGTGGTACAGTATGTGCTTGGAATGACTTTGGTCCTGAGTTTGATCCCTAGTAACATAAATAAAGAAAAAAGTAATCACCTTTGGAAGGGTATTGATACCAGACATCAATTCACAACAATGAAAAATTTAAATCCACTAACATATACTAATTTTTCTATAGCAAATATTTTTGAAAAAGCAATATACATTTATTATTAATAAATAAGTCACCAGTGGTGGTGGTGCATGCCTGTAACCACAACACTCTAGGAAGCTGAAGCAGGAGGATCACAAGTTCAAACCCAGCCTGGGCAACTTAGAGACTTGGTGAGACCCTGTCATAATAAACAATTTTAAAACACTAGAGATGCAACTTTTAAGAAACTCCTGGAGGGGCTGGGGATTTAGCTCAGCGGCAAAAGTGCCTGCCTGGCAAGCGCAAGGTCGTGAGTTCGGTTCCCGGTACTGGAGAAAAACCAAAAAAAAAAAAAAAAAAAAGAAAGAAAATCCTGGAGATGCATCTATTTTTTAATTTTTATTTATTTTTTATCTTTTTGAGATAGGGTCTCACTGCAGATCAGGCTGGCCTTGAGCTCACTTTGTAGCCCAGGCTGGTCTCGAACTCCCAACGATCCTCCTGCCTGCCTCCCGAGTGCTGGGATTACAGACATGCGCCACCACACCCAGCTGATTGGGGATGCAATTTTAAAAGGCGCTGGATCCAACCTGTATCTTAATTTTGGAAATAAGGAAATATAGTTAGGCTAGGTATTTTGTATAAGACACAGGGCAAAAATTCAATCCCAAACATATCAGATTCCAATGGAAACTTTCAACTATGCTATGCTGTCTTATGTTGTGAAATAGTCAAATATATGGTTTTGTTCCACCCTCTACCTTTTCCTAGATTATTTTGCTAAGACTAGGACCGATAACGTTTGAATCCTGGACATTTAAACCCATAGCCTGCATCAGGAAAGCAGAAGTCCCGAGGCACTGATCATCTTTCCACAGGAAGAAAGACCCTAATACCATATGCCTGGGAATCTGATCATTATGTCCTTCACCGATTACTGCAATAGAGAACAGCATCCATGATTTCTTTCTGCAGCTTGCTTTCCATTTTCTTTTTGGCGGAAGGTGGGAAAAATATTTATTCATAGAGGTTGGAAGTTAGTTGTATGGCTTCCTTCACCTGTTTTTGTTTTTGTTTTCCAGTGTTAGGGATTGACCAAGGATTCTGTCTGTGTTATGCAAGCGCTCTGCACTAGTTACACTCTTGGCCCTTTTGTATAATTTCTTGTTTGCCTGCTTGCTTTTTAAGAGCAGCCACTGTCTTCTATTACCAGTAGCTAAAGTACAGAACACACTAATAGGGTACCCTGCCCAGAGGAAACATACTTACCTTCAAGTTTTAACAGAACTGCAAGAGATAACACAATGCAACTGGCATAGGGCATCTCCAGCCAAAAGAGTCTTCTCTGTGAGAATATACCTTTTGTATAGTCTCTGAGTTAATGTCAAAGTTTCATTTGTGAAATACCAGAGTGCTAAGTGACTGGCTTAGTGGACAATGAGGAAATTCATGTACATTGTATAATTTGAGATTATAGGGACAATATACATAGTTTCTAAATCCAATAAAAAAGAATGCTCACTTATTAGAATTTTGAAGTTTAAAAATTAATTATTTCAAATTTACAGTAATGGTGCTCTTTAAATTAACAATGTTGGGGTCACAGTCATAATCTTGTCCTTAATTCGGTCACCAACAGTTGTTTAAAAAAGAAAAACAAGCTAAAGTTTATTAAGTACCAGTTACTTAACAGTAACACTGTTAACAGTCCCTAAGTCTGCAAGCCATGTCAGACAAAACCCTAATTCATTGCTGAGTGACCACTCCAGCCCTTAGCAGTATGTACAGGTTGTTGTTCCCTAGCCAAAAATCGCTGCATCATGAACATTACAAAGCAAAAATTTCCAATCAAAAATATATAGGTTTATGCCAGGTGTGGTGGTGCACACCTGTAATCCCAGCATTTGGGCGGCTGAGGCAGGAGGATCACTGCAAGTTTGAGGCCAGCCTGAACTACATGGTGAGACCCTGTCTCAAAAAAAAAACAAAACAAAACAGTATAGGGTTATAACACTTCAGATTATGATTTTATCTTATTTAGATGTTTTCCCAGCAAAACTAAAAACTCCAATTTTGCAGTGGAAATATAAGATTTACTTGATTAAAATTTTGCCTTTTGACAAAATTCCCTAAAATATACCTATTCTGTTAAGTAGGGTTTACTTATAACTTAACGCTTCTATAGGAAAAAGCAAGCCCTATAATTACTGTGTTCTGCTAAGACAGTTTTAAGATATAAATAGCCTTTTTTGTTCATAACTAACATGTGGGATGTCCCTATCTAAGTTAAATAAGCCAGGATAGTGCTAAAGCTATCAACCAGGCAGTCGTAAAATTAACTTATGAACAAGGGCATAAAAATAACTTATCTATGATGCTCAGTAGCACTTACTATGACCCAGAGGTAGGTATCTGGTAAATATCTTATTTGACACCAACCATGTCTTAAGCAAGCATCAGTATCCTGATGATTCACACACGGGCACAGTGAAGCACATGAGTTACAGAACTCACTCATTTACTCATTCATTCATAGAGCGGAGTACCCACTCTACACTGTTCCATGCCCTAAAGACACTTGATTTCAAGAAGCTCACACTTTCTGAGCTAGATAAATATACATCAGGTGGAGATAAGTGGTATAAAGAAAAACTCAGGCGAGGGCTGGAATGAAAGGGGTAGGCAAAGGGTGGTAGTTTATGTAAGGTGGTCAGAGAAACCTCTCTGAAAAGGTGTCACTATCAAAGTCTAAAGGAATTAAAAGATCAAGCAGCTGGGCAGTGGTGACAAACACCTATAATCTCAGCACTCTGGGAAGCTGAGGTAGGAGGATCACAAGTTCAAGCCCAGCCTTGGCAACTTATCGAGACCCTGACTCAAAGTTTAAAAATTTTAAAAAGGATTGGGGATGTAACAACACGAAGGCCATGGATTCAATCCCCAGTGCCACAAAAATAAAACAAACAGAACAAGCCATTTACTCCAGGCAAAGGGTAATTAGTACGAAGTCCCCGACGCAAGAGTCCTTGATGTGAAGGAAGAATAGCAAGGAGGTCAGGTGGTTAGAGCAGAATGAAGAAGTGGCCAAAGAGATGGGGGAAATCCAGACTGTACAAGGCATTTTTTAAAAAAAATTTATTATTTACTTTTGAGACAAGGTCTCACTGTGTAGTCCAGGCTGGCCTTGAATTCACTATGTATTTCAGGCTGTCCTCCAACTTCCAGCAATCCTCCTGCCTCAGCCTTCCAACCGCTGGGATTACCAGCATGCACCACCACACCCAGCAATATACAGGGCATTTTAAACAGTTGTAAGGACTTGAGTTTTAATTAAATGGCAAGCCAGAGATGGGCTTGAGTGGAGTGTCATAATAACCAGAATTCAAACCCAGGGCTAATTCCAACTGCTACCTTTTTTTATGTTATATTATGCTGTCTTAAAGGAAATAAAATGTAGTCACACAAGACAGGCCTGGACTTCCCAGTGTTCCACTCTGCCCCGCCCTATCTACCTGCTACCTTCCTAATTTAATAAACTCTCTGCTCCAGATAGGTTGATGTCCTTGCTCTTAACCTGTTCCCTGACCTAACACCCTCCTGCCTGTGAGATTATTCCTCTGTACCAGAGTCCAGCAGAGTGCCAGGCACCCCGTGGGTACATAAATAATCACTGATCCGTTCAGTCAGCTCCCTCCCTTTGACATTATAATATTCTCTTTAAGGCCAAGATGTCAATTAAGGTAATTTAGGAAGAACGAGATCTGAATTCTACACTAGACTTGACCATTAACAGCACCAGGCAAGTCATTGTATTTTGCTGAGTTTCTTTTTTTTTTTTTTTTTTTTCTGGTTTTTCTCCGGTACCGGGAACCGAACTCACGACCTTGCGCTTGCCAGGCAGGTGCTTTTGCCGCTGAGCTAAATCCCCAGCCCCTTTGCTGAGTTTCTTTCTCGCCAACTGCAGATCACATTCTGGGTCAACATTTACCGAGTACTTATTATTATTTGTGTGGAATTTTTATTTTCTCTCATTAAATCTTTACAACTAGGTGAGGACTAAATGACCCCCCAGCACGCCCACACTGATCAATTCTAAAATTCAATAATAATAAAACAGTCCCGGAATGCTGTTATGGAACCAGTTTTTTACAACTCAAAAGTTGGCTTTGAGAGGCTCCACCTGTGACTTTCTTAACATCAGAAATTCAAGCTACAGATGAGACTGGATTAACGACATGGACTTGACAGCAGAGATCGCATTCTACCCCTCAGGCCCCTCCAGAAAATAGTTGAATAGTTGGTTGAATATATGATGACACAGAAAGGTAAGCCCAGTTAAAAAAAAAAAGTGACGGAAATGACCTCTTCTAAACTCTAAAAGTATGTCAAAGCATTGAGTTATTAATCACCTATCAAAATATTAAATACCCTAGAGAAAAATGAGAATTTTATAAGATACAGAAAACCTCAAGTATCAGCTGTTTCCTGTGTATTCTCATCTGAGAACTTCTTTTCATCTAGACTTTTCTGATTACCTTTGTTAAGAAGACCTGATTTTTCTAGGGTTGGGGTTTGGGGGAATATGGGGCTTGGAGACTTTAGAGGACCATTTGCAAGCTAAGCATCATAATGAATTAAGCTAAGCCTTCATTAACTCTTTCTGCACTCCTGAAATT